GACAGCACACAGTCCCTCTCCCTCTCTGGGTCTAAAGTCCCCAGCTGCTCCATCTCTAAAATTGTGAAAAATTTTTGTCTCATGAAGACACCAACGTTTTCCATCCAGTAAAAAAAGAGAGATGACTATGATTTTATTGTCCTGCAACATTAACTAGTTTTGTGTCTAACAGTAATTTTATACTAATATTTATTTGTTCTGTTAAATTGCCAAAATAACTTGCTCTTTGAGTTAAATAAATAGTCAGTTCTCACTCCATCTCAGAGCTATGGAATGAATACTTGGTTTTCAAGCCTTCCACAGAGAGGCTAACCCTGCAGTTAATAGGGCCCTCAACGTCATTCAGTTAAATCTTGCCTGGTCCATCACTGTCTGTCAGAAGACTGAAGGTGCCAAATATAAAACGAGGCATCAGCACCTCATCTCTCTACCCAACACCCTACCAAGAAGACAGACCGTCCACTGGGTATCTGTCTTCAGGAATCGCCCCTTCATCATCTTGTGCTGGAAATCTGTTCCTAACCAGCAGACTTGAGACAGCCCCACCACCTCCTCACCACCGGTTTTATTTCTTTGGACCCTATGTGTTTTTATTCACTTGAACTTGGTTGTTGTTGGTTTTTTTTTTTGTAAGATCGATTTCCTTGAATGGGACTCTAGAAGATTTCCTAGAAGATCCACTCTCACCATCCTTAATTCCATCATCATATCCATTTATCATCCCCTGGGATTAGATTCCCTTGAACCCTGCCCCCTGCCTAGCACTGGTCCAGATTTTCTGGTTCCCTGCTTGGACTGTATCTCTGATGTGTACTTCCTCGTGGTAGGATGCTGATGAAAGCACACATTAAGCATTAGGGCAGAATCTATGGAAATGAGCTCCCTGTCATTTATCTTTTTGCAATGGGTACAGCTCTTAATTGTGGATGTTCTTAAACTTGGACAAGCTACAGTAAGAAGGATTTGAGCCAGGACTGGGCCACTTACGACCATTCACAGCAGGATGCTCTAGAGTCCTAGTAGCCGTTTTTAGGACTTTAGCTTTTGCCTTCAGGTTTTTATCTGGTGCTGTTGTTTGTTTGCTTTAATAATTCATATTACTATTTTTGTTGTTATTGAGAACATATACACAGCAAACCATACACCAATTCAACTATTTCTATGTGTACAATTCAGTGATATTGCTTACAATTTTAGAGTTGTACAGCTATTCTTACCCTTGTTTTCCAAATTGTTCCTCCCCTATTAACAAACTTACAGACCCCTAAGGTTCCCATCCAATTTTTCAAGTTGCTGTTGTCAATTTGATCCTATCTAGACAGTTCTTAAAAGAGCATCATGTGCAAGACAGACATTCTTGACTAGTTAAGCTAAATTACTATTTGATTTTAAGAAGATTTCAGGGGATATTTTTTGGTTTAAGGTGTAAAAATTATCTCAGGGAAATAGTTTGAGAGTCAATCCAGTTTTCATGGCTCCAGAAAATCTGATATTCTATGAGAATTTGAAATTCTTCATTCTCCCCCTTTTGATCAGCATTGTTTTATAGAATCTTTGATCCAAATGTTCAGTAATGGTAGCCAGGCACCATCTAGTTCTTCTGGTCTCATGACAACTAGCCACCCAGTCCAGTTCCTCCTTCTGTTCTAGACTCTGCTTCTTTCTCAGTTGCTCCAGTTGAATAGAGACCAATTGTGCCTTGAATGGCTGCTTGCCTTCAGTTTTTGATGTAACTCTGTACAGCTGGGATTTTCCTGAGTCCCTACCTCATTCTCTACAAAGGATAGTGCATTCCATCCCATAAGCCTATCTACTGGGTGGATGGTGCTCTTAGAGAGAGAGGAAATGACAGAGGTGTACTAGATAGAGAGGCGATCTTAATTCAGGGAAAACTTGCAAAATAGCAGAGACATTTTGATTCTGTTAAAAACCAACTCCGACAATAGCGCTGAATGTTTCTTCATTTCTCCAGCATAGCAGCAGGGTAGGGAAAATTTGTGATTGTCCCCATATTTCTAGAGACACACCATAGGACTTTTAACCCAGACTTTACCTTATTGTAACAGGGCAGATGACTACCTTCAGGGGGCTGGTCGAAGCTGACGGGCACCTCCTCTGGCTCACTGGACCGAGACCGCATGCCGGGGCTATTGGGAGTGGAGGGTGGGCTGTGAAATGGCGACACCATAGCCTTGAGTCCAGGACTCTTGGGTGAGGCTCCAGGTAGCAGGGCCGCTGGATCAAAAGCTAAGTTGGCCTGTCGAGAAAATATTAGGTTAGAGAAGAGATGAGAACCTCTACTTTAGCTTACTGATTACCTGATTTCTAAACTGGTTGAAACTAGGTAGCATGAGACTTTTCGTGTTATTTTCAAACCAGTTACTATCTCATCATATTCTCCTCTTTATGGGAGTAGAAAGCCTCATCTTTCTCCCGTGGTGCAGCTGGTAGTTTCAAACCACTGACCTTAAGGTTCGCAGCCCGATTTGTAACCACTACGCTACCAGAGCTCCTTTTAGTTTCTTACAACTAACTATACCTTTTCCCATAGGATTCTTGAGGCATTCTATTACCTATCAACTACCCAGCCATTATTAGGGAGCTCTGGTAGCGTAGTGATTACAAATCGGGCTGCGAACCTTCAGGTCAGCAGTTTGAAACTACCAGCTGTTTTGTCCTAGAAAGATGAGGCTTTCTGCTCCCATAAATATTTACAGCCTCAGAAACCCTGTACAGGGTCGCTATGAGTCGGAACTGACTTCATGGCACATAACCATCATCCATTATTAGGTGCTAACTACATGAGGTCATGTTTGATGTGGTCTTTATCTTAACCCTTTGCTAACAAGCAGAGGGCAGTGAGATCCTTATCCTTTGAGCAGTTTGATGAGAAGTAGCCAGATGGTACAGATGGAGCTACTTCCAATTTTGGAGAAGAGGTACCAGGGGTAATCAAAATGTTGTACTTACCTGAAGCTTCTCAATCAGAGGGGAGCTCTTCACCTTGATTTTAGGAGGGTGGCTTGTAGTGGGTAGTGATTTCTATAAAGCAAACAGACCAAAACAACCAGGTGAGTGACGAGTACAGAGATGACCTTCTGGCTGGGGCTTAGAAGCCACAGGGAAAAGGAGAAGAAGTTGGCTTCAGCATTTCACTTAGTTTCCATAGACCACTTACCTCATCAGGGCACATGCTCCCCTTTTCTCCCTCCCTCTTGCCACCACTAATAAGATCACTTGACCTCTAACTCAGCAAACTTAGGTTAGACATTGTTAGATGGGAGGACTTCTATGCCAGGAAAAAAAAATTACTTCAGATTATGTATAAAGGAGCAAGATCTTTACTTTATGACTTTCAACAACATGTGAACCAACAATATGAAGGAGTTTCAAAGACAAAGGGCAAAAATCACCATACATTCTATTTGTCACAAGCAAAACAAGAAACGGCAGGTCAGGAGTGAAAGTTGATAGAGGTATTGTTGAACTTCCCCCTCAAACTAATGATATTTTGGAAAATCCCACTGAAGGCAATGTTTACAAACTAATTTCCCAAATGCTTAATATGCACTTTAAGCAAACATAGACTGCGGATCTACTACATTCTGGGCATTGTGCTGGTTATATAAAGATGGGTATGATTTCTTTTCTGTCCTCAAATAGCAATCAATGGTTGGCATATACAGGTACATATGGTAGCATAGTGGTTACAAATCGGGCTGCAAACCTTAACATCAGCAGTTCGAAATTACTAGCCGCTCAGCGGGAGAAAGATGAGGCGTTCTGCTCCTGTAAAGATTTATAGCCTCGGAAACCCTGTACAGGGTCGCTATGGGTCGGATCCGACTCGACGGCACTTAATAACAACTACATAGACTGCAAAGCTGTTTGAACTGCAATGTCAGTGGTTCAAGCTCACCAGTCGCTCCTCGGAAACCCTATACAGGGTCCCTATGGGTCAGAACCGACTCGACGACACTTAACAACAATAACAAATACATGAGGGGGAGTCAAAAAGTACTGCTACTAGGTAGGGTTCCAGTTCATACACAGCTCTATTCCAAGCAAAAAGTGTATATAAGCATGTGTTTGCAACCAGTGGGTGGCTATAGGCAAATTCTCTCAGTAGGACACTTTTTGTAGTCTCCTCAGGGTGTCTTCAATAAAAAGGTCCCATCAAAACTGGGGCTTCTGAGGGGATCTGCTGGACCAATTAAATTCAAAGCAGGGAGCTCAGAAGGTTATAGGGACTGTGTTTTTGTTTTGGGATTCCAAAGGGGTACTCTTGATAGATTTTCTCGAAGGACACAGGAAAATTACAGGGGCTTATTAGGAAGAAATTTTCAGAAAATTGAACACTGCAACAGTGAGAAAAAAGCCAGGAAAATTGCGCTGAGGAATCTTTTTCCATCAAGATAATGCACCTGCTCATTTTTCAAGGGTAGCAAGGACTGTTCTGTGAGAATTTCATTAGAAACCTTACCCATCCATCTTACAGCCCTGATCTTGCCCCTTCATGCATCTCTTTGTTCCCCAAACTGAAAGACCAGTTAAAAGGAACAAAATTTGAGTCCCCTGAGAATGCTAAAACTGCTATTTTGAAGTGGTGTAAATCAAAGAGCACAGAATCCTTTGGTTGAGAAATGGAAACACTGCCTTCACAAGTGTAAAGACCTACAAGGAGCATATGTCAAGAAACTTGATTAAACTTGTTTAATCAAGTTACTATAACTTTGTAGCAAAAATTTTGGCTTACCCTCACACATATATGTCTCTTTCTATGTATACAAATATGGTTCTATGAACCATTGTTGTTGTTGTCAAGTGCCGTTGAGTGGATTCTGACTCATAACAATGCTGTGTAGGGTTTCTGAGGCAAGGCTGGTAGACTTGAACCACTGATCGTGAAGTTCAAATCGAACTTTCAGTCCAGTGCATTATCCCACAGCGCCATACCAGGACTCCTAGAGTAGTCTTTCAAAAAAGCCTTGTCTCCACGAATGAATCCTAGTGGCACAAGTTGGCTGCTAACCAAAAGGTATGCAGTTTGAACCCAACAGCTGCCCCAACAAGAGAAAGACGTGATAATCTGCTTCCATAAAAACACTACAGCCTTGCAAACTCTATGGGGCAGTTCTATTATGTCCTATTTTGTTGTTAAGTGCCATCAAATTGGTTCCGCCTCATAGCAACTCTGCATAGGTTTTTCAAGGAGTGGCTAGTGACCTTGAACTGCTGACATTGTGGTTCAAGCCAACCTTGCGGTCCAGCGCACTGACCAGGGACTCCATTCTGTCTTATAGCATCACTATTTGACAGTTTTGGGTTTGGTTTTTCATTGCTTTTTGTCCACAGGAAGTGGTGGGTAAAAAGAGCTTCTAGGCTAAGCTGGATTATCCTTAATTTCTGTGCTTTTCAGTGTAATTTCACATGGGTGGCTATATTTTCAAGATACTGTATTTTGAAAACGTTAGCAACAATTTTGCTGGTAATGCTCACCTTTTTTAACACTGTAACCTCTCTTCTACTCAACTGATCACTGTCCTCTGGAGACAATGAGCATTCAGTATCACTGTCCCTTAACCTCAACGACAGTGTTGGTGACCCAGCTGAAGCTCAATAAAACCCTGGTTGATGTGAGTTAAATGGCAGAGCAGGAAAGGACAAAAAAAAAAAAAAAATTTAGACACAAGTGGCAATTCCTGAGAAGGTCAGCAGGTGGCAGCATTTCCTGCAATGTTTAACTCGCTGCAGACTCGGAAGCTAACTCAACAGCCTTTTGGGGAGAGAAACTCCTGAGTAACCCAAGGGGGCACGAGTCTGCACAGGGAGACAGCAAGGATGAAGAAGGGCTGGGAAGTCCCTTATGAGTACAGTGCTTTGGGAACAAAAAAGCAGCCTGACCATGGTTTGTGTCATGGGGCTCCTGCAGGCTGGGCTATAGGAGCATAGCAGGAAGAGTGTGGGCAGCAGCCTGTCCTGCCCAGCCTGACCCAGTGGACTATTCATTTTATTTCTATGCGCATTTCAAGGCCGTGAGAAGTCAGGTCCCCCGAAGTGTCCTGCATGCAAGCAGCCATCACTCTAAGCAGGAATTCTCTCCAGTATCCATCTTCCTGTTCACCCAGCCTTGCCACTGCTGTTTTTAGATTTTATACTACCTGAGAATATGAACTACTTTTTGTGTTGTATAAAATACCCACACTTGAGTCTAGTTCCAGGGGTACAGTGAATGTTCAGCATGGAAGAATGAAGACAGTGAAGGTCATGATGGGGAACAAGATCCAAGCCTTTAACTACTGAGTGAGTCCCATGGGATGAAACCTCTATGCTGATTTCCTCCAGAGTCCTTGAAAAGGGACTGTTTTATCCAATTACCATTAACCTGACTTGATTCCTCATTCCAAGACCTGCCCACCCAGACCCTGTGATCTGTGTGCATAGTGTTCTTGTCCCCCTGATGTTACCAATAAGGGAACAAGCTCAGTGTAGTGCAGTGACTTCTGGACCAAGCCTGGGTCAGCAAGGGGCAGCTTCCCGTTAGGTTCCTTCAGCGCTCTGGTCCTAGCCTTCTGCACCAAGCAGAGACCCAAAGACCAGAGGGTCAAGGTTACACAGAGACACTGACCTTCAGGAAAGGGAAGTTGTTGTTATGTTATTTGGGGTTGATAACCCCATGAAACCACAGAATCATGTTAGAGATTCAACCAAAACACCTCACTGCTAATTGGGATTTTCATCGTAAAATAAAACCCCTGTTCAGCAGTTTGGTAGATATTCTCAGAACAGATGGGGATTCCAGAACTCCCAATCCCATTCAACCAGCTCTGAGTTTATCTGTTTATCTGATCGGCTTCTGATCAGACAAATACATCTAAAAGCCATAGATCAACTTCAGCCCTCTCATTTCATAGATGAGGAAATGTAGGCTCTGAGAGGCATGCCCAAGCTCACACAGACATCAGGAGACTACCATCAGGCTGTTGTTGTTAGGTGCTGCTGAGTCAATTCCGACTCACAGAAACCTGATGTACAACAGAAGGAAACACTGTCTGGTCCTGCACCCTACTCACAATCACTGCTATGTTTGAATCCATTGTTGCAGCCACTGTGTGAATACATATTATTGAGGGTCTTCCTCTTTTTTACAGACCCTCTACTTGACCATGCTAGTCACCAAAAAAGGGGTTAAAAAAAAAATGGGACTGGACTGTCCTTGGCTTGATTGTTCTATTTTGGGCTAGACCTCCCAGGCTGGACAAGAGAACATGAGAACTCATTTCTGGAAGGAACTATGACCAAAGTGAAGTTGCATGGGCTGCTGGGAGAAGTCACTTGTCCAGCTACAATTAGATAAATAAGGATAGGCGAATATGCAGGCAGAGAATCTATTACTGGCTATGATGTATGATACCAGAGCCCTCATTATGTTGGTAACATTGGCTATTTATATCTGAGGGCAATGAGGCTGTGTGCTCTGGTTGTCTTCCAAGGACCCAGAACAATAACCAGCCTTTACACAGGGACTGTAGAACCATGGGAGTCTCTCCCATCGCCATTCTGCCTTACACAGGTGTCGCCTCACCCCTCTTTCCAGATACATTCTGCACATGGAAAGAGTGAGATCAATTCCAAGATCATGTAAGTCAGCCCTGGGAAGAAAACAGAACTTTGCTGGCTCTTGGATCCAGCATGCCAATGATAGATGGCCCATTCTCTTTGCCGAAAATTCTCTGGCTTGAAAACTAGTGTTCCTCTCCTAGACAGATTATCAAGGTGGTTGGGGATGAAAAAGTAGGAAACAGCCTAGTTTTCTAAGTAAAACATTCAGAAAGCATCAAGAAGAGGAGATTCATTCCAGACTCTGAAATAGAGAAATGTCCTGCGCAGCTTTGAGATCCTAAGGGGTGAATCGTGTGCCTCTTCCTACCGGAAGAAGAAACAGTCCCCCACGGCCAGCGCCCTGAGAGTCCGTCCACAGCAGTACTTACCTCCTCACCATTCTGGCCCAGCTCTACCTTGGGGGGAAACAGGGGAAGGGAACAGGGTGGTTTCCTTCTTGTTGGTTTACTGGCTGGTGTCTAGAGGGAGGGCAACAGACAGACAAACAGAGAGAAAGAGAGAGCTAGTCAGGCACAGGGAGGGAAAGCAGAAAGTGGAAACTGGTTTTAGAAGTGTTTAGGGCAGTATGGAAGGAGCTCTGGTAGCATAGTGGTTACGAATCGGGCTGCGAACCTTAAGGTCAGTAGTTCGAAACCTTAAGGTCAGCTGTTCCGCAGGAGACAGATGAGGCTTTCTGCTCCCATAAAGATATATAGCCTGGGAAACCCTGTGCAGGGTCACTATGAGTTGGAACCGACTCCATGGCACATCACCACCACCAGGAGGTATGAAGGTAAAAGAAAGGGAAAGAGGCGCTGCATATTGCTGAGATCTCCCTTGGCCTGCTAAGCGGCGCTGTGGGTTATCGTGCCGGACTTACATACAAGGTCATCAGAACTGCAAAGTCAACGGTTCAAACTCACCAGCTGCTTCTCAGAAACCCTATACAGAGTCTCTATGAGATGGAACCGACTCCAGGCACTTAACAACAACCCTCTCCTCTCCTTTTCCTGCAAGAGCAACTCCTTTAACTTGAGACCTGCGGACCTGCACCCAAATCCCATAATGTCATCCAATCCAGCTTGTAAGCAGTGTCTTTTAAAAAACGCAGATCAATGCATTCCTGTAATATTTAGAAATTACAAACCTGATTTTTTAGATGCAAAAACAAGAGCACAAAATCGTAGCACCTGACTAAGAGAATATTCCAGCTGCATTTGCCTGTTTTGAGATTTCCCCACCTCAGAGCTCCTTCTCTCCTCTCCCCACTGTTGAGTTCCTCACATTCTGCTGTTGTTGTCTGACTCATAGCGACCCTGTCTAGGGTTTCTGAGGAGAGGCTGGTGAGTTTAAACTGCCAACCTTGTGGTTCAAAGCAGCCTTGTTTATCCTACAGCACTACACCAGGACACCTCATACTGTAAGACTCAGAAAAATCAGTCTCCCCAGTGTTTGGACATGCCTTTCTTTTGTCATTTTCCTCTCCAGGATTCGTGGAGACTCCATTGGTCCCTGAATCCTTCCCTGTCTGACCCCTGGATCCTCTCTGGTTGTCCTCTCTTCTTTCTCAAGTCTCAATCCAGAATCATCCTCAGTCTTGCCCTGTTCTTGATTCTTACACTAGAGGTGGGCAGAAGCCGGTGTGGGGACCTCTTTTTTTAAAATCATATTTTGTTGTGTTTTAGGTGAAAGTTGGCACATCCAATGAGGCTCCCATTTAATCACTTCTACAGAAATTGTTCAGTGACTTACATTTTTCACATTGTGTCTACATTCTCATTCATTCCATTCTAGTTGTTCTATTTCCAGCAATCTAGTTCCCCTATGCCCTTAGCTTCTCGTCTTTCTTTGCTTTAGAGTAATTGCTAACCGTTTAGTCTCACATGGATGATTTTTCAAAGACACACAGTACTCATGGATTGCACAGTATTCTTTATTTGATGAACCAATCTATTATTTAGCTAAAGGGTGACCTCAGGGGCTAGTTTAGATTCAGGGTGACAGTCCTCGGGAGTCTTTTAGTCTCAATTAGTCCAGTGAAGCCTGAGTTTCTTTTTAAGAGTTTGAGTTCCGTTTGTGGGAAAACCCCTTCATGCAGAACCAACCCAGGCCAGGTATGGCAGTGTGAGATTTAAGAAGGTATCAATGGATGATTAGGGTGAAAGCAAAGCGGGCCTTTTTAAAACATGAATTCATAGTGTAATTGAAATCACTAAACTGTACACTGTGAAAAAACACTGAATTGATGATACGGTATATTGTGTTATACTGATGGGGCTTTAAAAGGTTCATGGAAAAATTCTATTATCTTTCAAATCCATTTTTCCAAAAAACTTTTGAAGCCCCCTTGGATATGTTAACAGCAATGACAAGCATAATAATAAATAATCCAGATTCTCATCTCCAACCAGCTGGGTCATTTGCTTTCTGCCCTGCTTTCTGCCCCCTCATGGGCACCTCTCCAGAGCCTCATGGTGGGGGGAAGGTTCTGGACCAGACACAGAGGCAGCAGCTACATTCCTTGCATTCAGAGAGACCCTTCTCTGGCTTCTCTTCCTAATTTGGCAATTACCAAGCCTCCTCCTCCCTCTCTTCCCGTCTGACCCAGACTTCCCCTTCCTCCAGCACCCCTCCCAAAAGAGGGGCTCCAAGGCCCCCTGACTCACCTCCTTGGTTGCAGCTGCTTGCTCCCTAAACCGCCCGGCCAGCTGGGCCACTGATGGAGACGCAGAGTTGTCCACATTGGCATTGGTCTCTGCCGATCTTTCCTGGCAAACCAAACAGGAGACACAAAGTTAGACAGCGAATGTGTCCTATGGGTCTTTCGAGCTTTGGTTGGGTCCTGGACACCTTGCAAGGCCCTGTGTGGCTACAAACAGGAATGATGTGACAGTGAAGTATTTCAGCAGCATTTTACAACTGGCTCCTGCATGAAACGATTGAACAAAAAACAAAACAGTTCAATCCACCACACTTAGAGACTGCAGACAGTGTGCTTGGCCCTGGGAGTGGTGCTGAGGATCTGCAAAGGAAGAAAACTGGGCCCTGTTCTGGATGAGAGCCAGGAATCCTGGAAGTAGTAGTACAAGCTCTGGGTCCCTCAGTCCCCAAATTCCCCACTTGAGAAGGGATATCTTGAAGACAGTGCAGGAGTCCCTTGTTTGTGTTCAGATGAAGCTTTGAAAAATGAGGTCTGCTAAATGCATTTGGAAAAGCCTTTTAATTGGAGGAGGCAGGATGAGCAAATGCCCTTTCTCAAACTTTTACCATCTATATGGATGTATCTTGTCTCCTCAATTTAATTGAGTGCCTTGGGACAGGGCATATTCTGCAGATATGTGTTGAATTAATAAATAAGTAACATGAGGTAGCATAGTGGATGAGAACCTGACTGCCTGGCTTCAACCCTTAACCTGTTTCCTCTCCAAGTTGTCTTAGTAAAATAACTTCACCTTTCTGTGTTTTGACAGGGATATACTAATAGCCCAAGGAGCTCTGGTAGCGTAGTGGTTACGAATCAGGCTGCGAACTGCAAGGTCAGCAGTTTGAAACTACCAGCTGTTCCGCGGGAGAAAGATGAGGCTTTCTGCTCCTGTAAAGATTTATAGCCTCGGAAACCCTGTACAGGGTCGCTATGGGTCGGAACCAACTCAACGGCACTTACAACAGCAACATACTAGTAGCCCATCACTCAAAAGTTTTTGTTTTGTGGATTAAATGTTTTATTATAAAGTGCTGGGACAAGCCTTGGTGCCCTCTATGTACTGTGTAACTGTTATTATCACTAGCGATGGGGCCCTTCAAAGAGAATCTCTGATGACTTATGTTAATTATTTGCCTGTTCCCATAGAGTTCACTCTGAAAGAAATGGACCACTTTTCCCTTCTTGTCCTTTTAACTGAAGAAATAACCTAAAAGGTAGGTTTGTCAAACTGATACCCACGCCCTGCTCTGCCTCCCATTCAGAAATCAGTTCATGTGGCCAACTGTGGAGAGGAAACCCCATGAGTACAATGTCTGGTCCTAAGGCACTACGTCACAGAGGACGGGCCAGTGAAGGCTGAACATGGCCCTCTCAGTTCTGCCTTGTTACACTTGGTGGCCTATCTAGCCACCTGGCTTTAATAATGTGGCTTTAAAAATGTGGAGTCCCGGTGTGGTGCAGTGGGTTAATGCACTGTACTGCAAGGTCAGCTTGTACCACAGGGTCAGAAGTTCAAGCTCATCAGCCGCTCCTTGGAAACCTTATATGGAAATCACTTGACAGCACTTAATGACAACAACATACTAGACATTTGGGTTTTTTGTGGTTTTTTTGGCCACTATGATGAGGTATTTCTTACACAGACTGCAACATATCCTTCTATTACTTCATCTTCTCATGCCCACTCTGAAACCGGGAGGCTTGGAGTAGAAAGTCCATCTCTGCCTATCCATGGGACACTTGGCTAGAAAAACAGGGCCCTCCAGCAGCAAGCTTGGATCCCTTTACCTCACACACACATACTTCCTAGGCTCTCGTTACTGTGCTCAGAGCATCTCCAAGCTTTCTTATTTGTGACCTCCCTCCAAAGAAAATGTCCATGGTCCCCTTGGGAGCAGGGGAGAAGCGGATACCCAAGAAGTGAATGAAGGAGGCAATGCTTTGTGACGAAGTCTTTGTTTAGACATGAGGAAGCCAAATGGGGCTGCGGGGTTCCTATGGGATTTGAGAATGGGCTGCTCTGGAGGAAAAGACAGGTCCCTCTGGACTGTTTTCTGCTGTAAGTCAACTTCACCCTCATTCCTAACTTAATCATCAAATGGCAATTTCACATAAAGGTGTAAAAGGATTCACCTATTCAAGGCACCAGATTTCCCCAGGTTTCACACCTGTTTGACCTTCACATTGGACACGTTAGGATTGGTCAGAGATGGACATCTTGTCCTCTGAGAGCTACAGAAGACTTCAGGAATGGTGTGTGATTAATTGAGCCACCCTTAGCAAAGACACTGGGCTGATGGATTTGTCCATCTGTCTAACTTACTGTCTCTCTGTCCACTGCTATTTATTGCTCAGGTCTTGCTGACAGCGCACTTTACCTTGGCTTCAAAGGCGCCAGTCACTAGTGGCGCAGAAAGATACATTCCAGTTAAAAATAGAACTGTACAGGAATCAAAAACTCCTCCCTGACTTCCCTGTCTCGAAACTGAGCTTGGCAAGACATTCCGGAGAGAGAGAAGTATGAGGCTTCTGGAAGCAGTTAGGGCTGAAAAGCTGGGTTGAAGGAAAGATTTTCATATGTGGAGTTTGTTTTCTGGAGCCTAGTGAATGAGTTTTCTTTAGAATGTCTAGGGACTCCAGAGTTTAAGTATGGCAAAGGCACTCCCTACCTACCACTCTTTAGACACCTATGACTGAGATTGTGACTTTTACCACCTGGGCACACTGAAGCCCAGAGATGGTAAATGACTTAGTCAGTCACACAGCAGAAGCAGAATAGGGGGTAATTTGCAAAACACTTAATTTCAACCCCTGTGATGGACATCAACTAAATCATGTAACCTGTGAAAATATTTTGAAAACTGTAAAGTGTTGAAATTATTATAAGTACAATAGAAGTCTGGTGTTGGGGATAAACAGAGGGGGCAGGGATTCGGACCCCTAGAGGCTTGGCCTGTATTTCTGTTTCCTAATTCTCCTGTACCAGCAGGTACAACTACTGACCTCCCTCCTCTAGTGGGTTCAACACAGTGTCACTTAAGCTCAGGCCAATGAGACACATGGAACACCTCCTCAGTAGCTCTCTCTTGGCCCTGAGGCTGCTTTGTTAAGGTCACGTTCAGTTCCGGACTGTGCTCTTAATTCTAAGAAGGACTTCAGCATCCCCAACTACTCCCAATCTTTCCCAGGAGCCTTCAGTCTTCTTTCCTCCTCAGATGTCTAGAAGGTACTGAGCATGGAACTAGCCTTGCAGAAGATGGCCATCTAAGGGTGGTTTCTTCCCTCCTTACCCAACACAGTGTGCCAGTGTCAGGGCCTGGGAACCTGCCCCCAGACCACACCAATGATGGGACCCTCCCCTCCTGTACCCATGTTAGGGTCCCGGTCACTGCTTTAACTTAACTTGTCCTCTTCCCGGCCCAATCTCCTGGTCTTCAATACGGTTTCTGTACTCATCTCTCTTTGGGCCCTACTTAGTTCACACTTCTCTTTACAGATTAGATTGCAGGTCTCTCCTCCATCTTCCTGGACCTAGATCTTACTTAACAAACCCTCCCTGTTCAAGTCTGGTTCTGCCAGCCAACTTTGGAAACCACTCCTGTGGTTACGGTCTCACTTTGCCGAGGCCAGAAGAAAATCACCTCTGGTGTTTATTTTCGATTTCTATGGGACTTTCTTCTGGGAACTGAGGAGCCCTGTGTCTGATGGCATGGAACTCCCCCGGACAGCTCCACTAAGGTTGCCATGTTGAATAAATGCAATTTGGATGTTGCCCACCATACACAGAGTAGAGCCTTTGTGTACGGACCAGAATTGGGTTCTATATAGCTCCATGGCTCTGTTTCTGTTTTACCATTCTGGTCTTTGGTCCGAGGGCTAAGTGTCTAACAGTCTTTGGTCTATGGTTTAGCAACAGGCCTCTTGACCTACTGCTTAGGAGAAGGTGCAATGAGAGGACTCTGCCTAGGAGCTGAGGAACCCTTGTTTTGCATTAAAAGCAATGTCTTCTGCTTACCAAGGAATCTCTGAGTGGTGTAAAAAGTTAAGACACTTGTCTGCTAACTGAAAGTTTGGAGATTCTAGTCCACCCAGAGATACCTCAGAAGAAAGGTCTGGTGATCTTTTTAATGAAAAATCAGTGATTGAAAACCCTGAGGAGCACAGCTCCATTCTCACACATACAGGGTTGCCATAGTTCCAAGTTGACTCTGGTTCTGCTCACCAGAAACAGACCCGAGACTCCAGAGTCTCTAAGGTATATAAGGCTTGCTGCTTCTTCACCCTTAGAGCTGCTGCCAAGGATCTGAAGATGCTGCCAATTCTTTATACTCATGTAAGGAACTCACTCCCCCCAAATATCGTCATGTTTAGATTTTCATTTCAAAAGGATCGGCATTCAGTCTTTCTTAGGTGCCTCATCTCTGACTCTTCAGCCCACCCCAGAGTTTAACTACTACCATTTTGGGATGATAGGAAAAGCACAGACCAGAGAGATTCATTTGATCAACTGATCCATTTAACTACTACCTACCTACCGGTTAGGGGTTTAACTGTGTTTCCCTCCCAAAGATGCGTAACTCCTGGTAACTAACTATAAATGTCACCTTGCTTGGACATAGGATCTTCCAAGTTCTTATTAGTTAGGTTAACACGAAGTCATACCTAAATATGGTAGGTCCTAAACCAATATGACTGGTATCCTTATAAAGAGAGATGAGACACAAAGGAAAGGAGACTGCGTGAAGACAGAGGCAGAGATTGGAGTGATGTGTTTGCAAGCCAAGAAATGCCAAGTACTACCAGTAGTCACCAGAAGCTGGAAGAAGCAAGGGAAGGTTTTCCCTAGAGCCTTCAGAGAGAGCATGTCCCTCTGGACAACTCTCAGACATCTTGACCCCAGGACAGTGAGATAATATATTTCTGTAGTTTTAAACCATCTAGCTGTAGTACTTTGTTATTGAGAACCCGAGAAATGAATACACTGTCTACTTAGAGCAACTGATATGTTTTTGATAAATCTTGCAACACCTCTTCTAGATGAGGAAACTAGAGCCCACAGTTGCT